TGCCCCCCCCCCCCCCACTCTCTCTCTCCCTTCCTGCATACAAATTGGACGTTTTCATTTCAACACAAGAGCACTGGAACGTCTGTTTACACTGGTATGTATTCACGGTGAAGGCACACAGGGAGAGAATAGCCAAAAAAAAAGGCTCGCCCTCTCCACCCAACAAACCAAACAAAAGTCTAGACTCTGACTCTAGAATCTAAATCTAATCTAGAAGTAATTAGGCCGATGATACAATCGCTAATTTCATAAAACGAGTATTTCTATGAGCCTCACCTCTGAAAAGCTTTTGCAGCTTTATTTACAGACTGGATGGCAAAAGCCCTTGGATTCCTTTGCTTTGCATTGAGCTCTTGCTTGTGGTCCTTCTTCGCCTTCTTCTTTTCTGCCTTGGGTCCAGAATGGCGAGCCCTGTGGCCTTTGTTTATATCAGATTCCATGAGTACACACAAGACTTGTTGAATATAGAAAAATACACAACATACAAGGCAAACGGAAAAGGTAATACTTTAATTGACCGGCACAATGTAGCATACTCCCTTGCCCCACGTGTGAGACAGAAAGCAAAACTTTAAGTTGTTTACAAGCACAGATCCCAGATTTTGCCAGGCTGTCATCTCACTCGTAGGCCTACAGAAAAAAAGTCTTCTCTAAAGTTCAGAAAAAATGCAAACATGGCCTAAAAGCAGCCTGTTTGTGTCTAGTATCTCATATAAAAAAGTAATTTATTGAGATTATCTGACTATTTCAGATCAACACAAAGAAAACACAAATGCTCAATATAAAAAAAAATAAAAGTTTCTGCGTCTTCTCGGCAACTGAAATTCGGTGGCAAGGGACATCACTCTGCAGTCAACATCCATCAGCATTTTATCTTTGCTCGTTTTGTCTCCCTTGACAATATTATAGGCGGCGCTGTTCTCGCAGGTGCAAATGCTAGGTGTTTTGATTTTGTGTTACACCGTACACACACACACGCGAGTTGTAGGCCCTTACTTTAGCCTACTTATTAACTTACCTGCGAAGCTTTCAAAGTTTGTTGGGTTGGAGACATTTGGGCTATCGACATTTGACACAAAGATCAGATATGAAATTTTCCTTGCAATTTTGTGCTGCGGCATTCGTAGCTTCTTTTCTGTTTCGTCCAGGTAAGTTCCTGTAAGAGTCAAGATCACGACTGAATGTTTGAGTTTTGTGATAACTGTTCTTCTTCTGTGACCGATTCCATCAACACGGAAGTGTGTACCCCGGCCCATACTATCGGCTTAGTCTCAGACATAGATCTAGATCTAGATCTAGATCTAGATCTAGATTTAGATTTTCCAACATTTCTATTCTATGAAAGCATTAGTAGATCAAGATTCTAGATAAATATCAAGATCTGTTCTTGTTGGTTATTTTCTGGGAATTAGATCTAATCTAGATCTAATCTAGATCTAGATTCTAGATTTAGATCTAGGGACTTCCATAATCAGCGATCACCCCAACAAACACAATAATAGAACGAAATGACTATTCCCAGTGACACTGCACTGGGGATAGGTACAGAAACTACTATTCCCAGTGACAACAGAACTCTTTTGCTTAAAAAAAAAGCAAGTGGCTATTCTCCGGTGCCACGCCGGTCAATAGATCGGAAGCTATTCTGCCACGCCGCGCCGCCGGTTTATTACCAATGAATTATTTTTCAGCGCAGATTTTGAGATACAATGACGAAGCCTAGATCTAGATCTAGTAAGTTTACCTTTCATTATTTTCTATTTATGATAATTGTCTACGTAACTTGCCACCCTGGAAAATTCCAAATCTCCTACCAACTGATAATGTTTGGTGTGTCCCATGTGCTCATACATGACCTAAAGCCTGGCCACTCTGCAAGCAGAGTGGGCACAGCAGAGCGGAGCTGTTTTAGGTGTTAACATTAGGTGGCCACACTGCAAGCAGAGCGGAGCGGGCGTTGCAATTTTATTGCAACGTTGTGTGGCATTATATTTTCCTATCAGTTTCAGTTGCCCATGGATAGGAAATGATTGGCATTATTTGTTCTGGTCGATGAGGAGACTCGACAGAAAAAAGCAAGAAAGGAGTGGGTGCACTCGATCATCTGACTGCAAATTCTTCCACTGATCTGAATAAAAAGAGGGTACCGTGAAAGAAGGATCAGAATAATACGAGGGAGAGACATCTAATTTCTTTTTTTTATTTCTTATTAATTTTCTCTCTTGCTTTCCTGTTGTGGTGAATGGGAAATAGGAACACAATAATACTTGTAATCATAGAATCTTAAGCGTGTTTAAAAGCAAATCAACGATTAAAAAAAAATCTTGGTTTTGCAATATTCAGAGAGTTTAAACACGTAACTAAACCCGTACACACATATACGCACTCACACAAATATATATATATATATATATATACACTCATACACACATATTTCGTACAACAAACAACCTGTGTCTGTGGTGTAGCTGTTAGGCACTTCGCTGTCTCACGTACAACACCTGTGTTCGATTCCAGAGTAAGCAAGAATTTTTATCAAGTATTATTCGTTCTTTCCGCTGAGATGCTTTACCACTCTCAGCCAGGGTTGGCCCTGACAGAGTCAAGCAAGCGGGAGTTAAAGAAGAATAATATGTGAGAGAAAGAGAGACTGACAGATAGAGAGAAAGAAAGAGAGAGAGATATATATAGAGGTAGAGATAGATAGATGAATAGATAGACAGACAGACGGATAGATAGACAATCGCACCTGGAGAGAGAGACAGAGAGAGTGTGTTTGTTGTGTGAGAGAAGGAGAGAGAGTTAAGATGATGCCAATAACCCCACATCATGTCATCATGCACAAAAATTGACGAGCGCCTGATTTCACCACGTCATGACACAGTTGTTCTTGCTTCACTAAATCTACTAAGATCAAAAATAAATCTCCACAGTTTGATCAGTGAAAAGAAGGCATGTAGGAAAAGAATTGGATCCTGATCGTTTGATATTTTAACTTTAGGCCGGCGTAATTTGAAACGCTGCATTCTGAATAGCTCCTGTGCTAATCAAAACGCCATGTTATGATTAGCCCCGTGCTGTTTGAAACGCCAGTACTAGTAGCCATTGTTTTTAATAATCTACTTTTATCACTCCACTGCATGAATTGTAAAAGCTTTCTCAGTTTTAACTACACCTCCTAGGATTTGATTCCATTTTTATGATGTTGTCTTATATTCTGATCAATTATATTGGGCAGCTATCTAGATCTAACAGTTGTTTCTGACATTGTTTGCACAAAAGTAGTCTAGTTCATCTCTCATAGTCGTATTTAATAATAAAATGAGTTTTAGCAAGTAAGTCAAAAGACGCTTGGATACAATAACAAGACCGTGCAACTCGGTAGGGCCTATTTCGTGTCCACAGTGTCGCTGTACCTAAAAATATCTCAGCGCGCACTAAACGGTCGGTAATTAGCCCATTGTTCAGTAGATCTACAACGTATTAATTCCTTACCTCTATGGCCTTTGGAGAGCCTACTATCATTGTGTGTTACTATAAATTATAGAATTAATATTGTCCTAGGTTAGGCACTACCCTGCTTGCCTCACTCGACTCAGGTGTGAAATGAGTACATGGCTATACATATATATGCAGTGAAAGGTATTGTCAGAATGCTAGGGTTCAGCGCCTAACTGGCAGTGGTATTGTATGCTCCCCAAAGAGTTGAGAAGTCACATGTATTTTTAGAATGTATTGGCCTGCCAGGGGGATAAATAATGTACAGTCTGTGGGCCTGCACCGTGCGGGAAACGGCCTTTTTATCTTAAAGACAAAGAAATGGTGTTGGTTTGTTTTTATTTGTATGTTTCTGATTTTTTTTTAAACGGGGTGCAATGCCGTCTTCAAACCAGAGGCAGATGCAAGAAAGAAATAGAATGCGATCAATAAACAAATATCGTTTTCGTGGGTCAAGATATGCAAGATGGGATGTTTAACGAAAACCATTAGCGTCACAAGAAGAGACAGGGGTACGAGGAATGTAAGCAGACAAATTAGTAAACAGGACAGAATCCTGCATCTCTCACTCTCACAGACAAAACAAAGGAATGAAATGGTTTGGTCACCATAGATCGATCCAAAACAGCCAGAGCCTACAGCTAATCTACAGTAAATACTCCTATCCAGAGAGCAATCCATAAAAATAAAAAAGACATGAAACATATTTCTAGTAAATATCCATATGTTGCTTTACTAGTTTAAGTGTAGTTAAATCAATGTACATATGTAATTGATTTATTAATGTTCAAGTTTAAGAAAAACTTTGTAATAAAACATACTTTAAGAAATAAAAGAAAACATCTTTATGATGACCAATTTAGCATCAATCTGCCAATCGTAGCACCATGCATTTTTATAGCTATCAGGAGATTCATAACGTTCTAACTGCTCATAGATAATCTTCAATGTGTTCTTAGTAAACAAAAGATCTTGATATACTGGTGTTGTTCTATTTATAATTTGAATGTGAATGCACTCAGGAACAAAATGATTTTTAAATTACCATACATAAAGCTTCTCAGGGTATTCAAATTGAAGTCTTTGAATCTGCTTCTACTCAATATTGGATCAAATTAGGTCCTCCATACAGAACCTATACACACACAACATTAAAAGTCTCCATCATGTGAATGCACAACACAACTGGTGACAACACCTATCACATTTCTCACACCCTATTGGGTTTCACCAACGGAGTTTTTTTTTCTAGTCTCTTTTCTTGCACTAATTGCAAACAACATCTTTCTTGTTAACATTTTCTGTAGTCTACATTTTTTCTTATGTTGAGATCGATGTGGGTTTCTTCAGGGCATGTTTTCTTTTTCTTGGTCCGCCAAGTACTGTGAGGCCACTTCCTTTGGGCTGACTCTCTGGTAAACAGAGCGGTGGTTTGATATTTAAAAACAAGGCTCTACTTCTAAAATATTCTCAGTTCTGGCATTCATTTTATCTGTTCTAACATTGCTCTCCTACTCTATTCTCTCCACTGTACTTGACTGTCCCTTCAATTTCTGCTCGCTCCTGTTGTCTATCAATAGGGCCTCTAGATAGAATTGAATCGAATTAAGGCACTGTTTTATTCCCAATCTTCACAAACGGCTGATTGGTAGATTCAAAATATCTATGAACAGCTTAAAAAAATTTATCCCAGCAGGGGAATTTGTCTTCAACTTTCAGTAGGTTCAGCCATCGTCTGGTCATGAAAAGGTCATGAAAAAAAAATGTTATAGACTAATTGGAATTTTAAAAGAATATTTTGTACGAGTTCATTTTATTGTTTTATTCATGTAAATGCTTTACATGTCGATCAACATGTTTTAGATCAATTTACAAAACTGGATTCTTTGACCCAACCAGTGGCTGTCATGGGGCTGTATAAAGTATAACACGGATAAGTCAAACACAGAAGACTCAAAAACACCCATCCGTCGAATTGTGCCTGCTGTCCCGATTTTTCGTCTTTTTTATCTTTGTAAGATACCCTTCGATCCCTTGAACTATCGAGGCCGGTCCCTGCAAAATCGAGCTATCCGTGTTATACTGTATATGTATGCCATTGTTTGATCTAGAAAGATTATTTGACTTCTCTTCCTCCTTGGATATTGGAAGTCATCATCAGTTTATGATGAACAAACTACTATGATCAATGATCTAGTAAGCCAGAAATGCTTGATAAATCAACTTCCCCTCACAGGAATGAAACTCACATTTTTGCATTCAGTCTTGTTCATCTCCTGTTCTAGTACTGTAGTGTTGTGATTGTCAGTGTATTGTATACCTTCTATATATATATACACAGTGGAACCTGTCCAGGGCAGAATCACAAGGGAGCCAGACCAAAAAAGTTCCATCTTAGACTATTTTCCGTTTTGGACTGAGGAGTTTAGAGATTGGGGGGGGGGGGGGGGTGTCCAGAGGGCCAGCCCATAGGCGGTGGGATCAAGGGTCGCCTGTCCAATGGGCAGGCTGTGGACAAAACTTAAACCCTCCCAATGCTATCCTAGCCTCTCTAATAATGGTATGCCCATTGCCACCAGTGTTTACATTTCATGGAACAGTTATGCAACAATGAAAAACAAAAATAATTGAATATCTCCTTTGTTTCCACTCAAAGCTCTTAACCATCAATGTAGCACAATTGACCAATGTCACCCCTCACCTGCATGCAACAACAATTTGAGGATCAGGGCAGCAGACAGTGGTCAAAAATTAATTTCAGACCACTGGCTACCCTTGAATGTTTTTGTGCTGGCGCACTACTGGAGGAGATTCACGAGCACTCATGCAGGGCTCACAGAGGTGGAGTAACAAATACCCCCAGACCGCAACCACCCCCAACCCCCTTGTGTGGCAGCATGGTGTAAATATTAGAGCTGATGGAACCAAACTTGGGAGATGTATTTCAAGTTAGGGTTGAGCTGGCAAAGCATTCACTATCCTGGACATACCAAAACCCTCCAAGGGAAGGAATTTCTCTTTCCGTTTCCGGGTTGATGAGCCTATGACCAAAAAAAAACTTGCTTTTACTACGCCATATCATGATCATGACGATTTAACCAATATTCATCAGAGATTGTCTCACCAACTCTCTAATGTAATCACTTCCTAGTGATGTTCAAACTGCGACATTCACAATGTATACAAACATAATGAACCCACCATACAGCCCATTGCGGCACCACATTGTCTCTTTAATCACACCCCACCACCCCAGTACTCATCCTCACATGACTAGATTAATGAAGTTCTTGTGCTTCTGTACACTACAGGTAATTTGAGTAATGTGTCTTGATACCAGCAGTGTGTGTATCACGCTGTATATGGGCAAGTCTGATGGGCCCATGTAACCTGATATTCTCAGGGATGATGGGTGTGTTGTTTTCCATCGTATGGGTAAGGCAAGGTGAATTTGAGGAAAAATTTGATCAGACTTTTCGAGATGAGCTGTTCAACACATCCATGCAGGTGTTCAAGATTACCATGCTGCCAATACAAAGAAAATATATCAATTCAGGCTGAGATTCGACATATTGTTTGAGCTATCTATTTGTTATCTCTTCTCAACTGTATATTTGTCTACTGAAAATTACCTTTTTATTTTCAGGTGCTGCTTTGTACTGCTATCAGTGTGATTCAACTTTGGACAGCAACTGTCAGGAGAAATGGGATGAAAGCCTTTCTGTCAATGAAGACAAATACACCCTCTGCCAGCTGTGGGATGCAAAGTATTGTGCAAAAGTAACTGGAATGTGGGGAGGTAAGAAGAATTGTTCTCTGTTGATGATTTGTGTCAATCTTTTTACATTGGGTCAGTTTTTCATGGCTGTTTTATATTTTATTATTGGGGCAAATTGTCTTGATAGTCCAAACTTGAAGATGTAACAAATTCATAAGAACCAATGGAAAAGATTCCAGGGGAAGCTTCTTTTTGTCACTATTATCCAGTTGTGTTCCTTCCTTATTTTTAAATGAGTTAAGAAAAAATCCCTTTTGCAGTAAGAGTCGCATGTTCATGTAGTTTGAGTTTGAAGGTGAATTTGCATTGCTTACCTTCCAGTCTCCATCGAGTAAAACTTAGTTTTCAGGAATTGTAGACTACCATCTCTGACACATGTGTTTTTCAGTGCTCTAAGTAAATTTCTTATTAGAAACTCAGGAATTGTAGACTACCATCTCTGACACATGTGTTTTTCAGTGCTCTAAGTAGATTTCTTATTAGAAACTCAGGAATTGTAGACTACCATCTCTGACACATGTGTTTTTCAGTGCTCTAAGTAAATTTCTTATTAGAAACTCAGGAATTGTGTACATGTGTGTCACTAGGATCATAAGGAAATTGAAGAATATTGTAATATTTGGGTATTTTCAATTTTGTCTTAAATATGTTTTTTCTAAGTTGTAGTAATGTGCACTGTCCTTTCCTTATACAGTTTTGGTCACGTGTTGTGTACTGTGATGGTGGTGCATGAGACTAATTAGGTCAATGTGCACCAGAAAATGCACCTGCACTGATCGCCAAGCAAGAGTTGATGTTTTGCTACTCATTTGCATCGTGTTGTTTCTTTTTTTGTTTTTTTGTTTTTTGTTTGTTGTCTTTTTGGCCATCTTTCTTTTAATGTCTCAAAAGTGATATTTTGGTTCTTTCAAGTACCACAAAGCATGGATGTCCTTGTGTTTAGAGTCTGTGTTGCATGACAGTGGAAGTAACATAAGGGCTCTTGATGTTTCCATGTTCGTAGAGGAGTCTTTTAAAGTCAAAGGCATCACTTATTGAAGCATCTAAGCCCTTTCTCCTGATGAGATACCACTGCAGGTCTCACTTGTGTCTCTGTTCAGACCACAGACCATACATGGTACAATTTTATTATCTTGGTTTTGAAATTTATATTCCTTGTACAACATCTAATCCTAATGTGTTGTTTATTCTTAGGTGTTGTCGGGACTCATCGATTCTGTTCTTCCAAAGACTTGGGAGACCAGTGTCAAGATATTTGGTTCCCAGACCACGACAGAATGTACAGAGCTTGTGTGTACAGCTGTTCATCTGATGGATGTAATGCAGGTTTCCGCCTGTCTTCTGTGCCGGTTACTCTTCTCACTTTGATGGGTGTGGTTGTTGGAGTACTCAGGTTGTTGTGATCTATCCTGCCTTTTTGAAATGTTTGTTGTTTATATGAAATGAGAAATGAAGTATGACTGTTTCACAGTACAAGAAGCAAATGAGTTGGTGAAATTGTTGATTGTTTGCAGTAAAGTGTGTTGCATTGTAATTTTGTGTTGCAATGGGAAATGACAATTTGCTGAATACAGATGGTCTGCAGATTGTTGGTGTTTTGGCCGCTTTGGTCTCGATCTAATAGTTTGAAATTATTACCAGTGTTTATCAATTAAAAGGATTGTTACTCCCCTTCAATTTATTACCCCTTTTTAGAAAAAATTTGTCAAAGGAACCTGAACTTCTTGGAAACTGATCTCTGTTGAATGTTGGTCCCTCACTGAAACATAATAGACCCACTGTGTGTGTGTTTGTATGTTTGTGATGAGGTCGCAACTGAAAATACAGATGACATTCTTCTGACATTTGCATGTGTGTTCACCTGGGAAGTCTATTACCATGTACATTAGCTTATAACACGATGTGACATGTTATACAGGGTGAAGACTTTGACTTCTTCCAAATTGGCCCATGTTTGTAGGCGTGCATGAAGAGGATGCATTTCTGACATGCTGGAGAGGGGCTCAACATTCGTGAAATCAAATACTAGTTGGTCATATCTTTAAATATTAAGTGCAAAAATCAAGAGCACAACCCAGGTAAACAGCTCCATTAACAATATGTATTCCAATGTTTATTTTATGACATTGAACAGCGATCCAAAGAAATGCATCGCAAGAGAAGGGCTGCATGTCATATATATAATATGAGAGTATAATTTTAGACCTCATTTTTGTTTTTAAAATCACTCATATTCAGGGTGTCCAGCAAAATCGTTAAAAAGTCGTAAATTCGGCGCCCTGGTCGTAAAGGTCGTAAATGGTAGTAAATTTGCCTTGAAGGTAGTAAAAATTTGGTAAACGGTCATAAATTAGCCTGCATACTGAGTGATGAAGCCAGCAAGACTTTTCAGTGAACCCTAGCCTCCGGTTTTGCAGGTCGCGATTGTGATATATTATTATAATTATTCGTTTACCTTTTCCCCGTCCGAGAGTACGTTTCACGCGAAAAGCCGGCTATGGCGGCAGGTGGAAGTGTATGTGACACCGAGGCTCGATCGGGAAAATCGAGATCTACTTTCGCTTTCGTTACCACCCTAAAATTTGGCGAAGATAAACTGATAACGCAACATTTGTGTTGTACAGTATAAACGCTGTGTCGCCGTGCAAACAAAATTTATTAATTACTCGGACTCTGTCACTTGTGGGGGTTGGGGGGGGGGGGGGTGAAAAGAAAATACAAGCTTTGTCCGATTTTTAGATTGTCGGGTTCGCCAGCGTGACAGGTCAGTGAACCTTCGCGCGAGGCACTACAAGGTACGGCATCGGTGAGCACCAGCATTTGTTGGGGTCGCCAAAGTTCATTAAAAAGTCGAGCATTGCGAAGTATAGGACTACGGAGTAGGGCAGGGATTATTGATTTTTTAAAAGAGACATTCGGGGGAGGGGGGGAGCGGATGAAGGCAACACCAGAGGACAAAAACTGTATGCAAATTTCAGAATTTTGATTAGATTTAGAGCCCTCTGCAAAGCGCGTGTTGGTGCAGGCCTTGTGTGGAATCGGGATCCTCCATACCTTGTAAGCCGTGTTATTGAAATAAAGTGTTCGCGTTTCATTTGTTGGGTGATAGTAAATTAGAACAATATTGTAGCTTTCTGTTCAAGACTGGCAGATTTTCAGTGACACTGCCTCTTGCCCTCTCACAGTTCTTACACCTCTCACACTGAATATGTTTACTCGAGTCATTACGTGAGTGTGTGGGTGTGTGTGTGTGTGTGTGCGCGCGTTGTTGTGTAGCATGGCCCTGGAAAATGGAGAAGCCGGTTTGGCAGTCACCCTGTGTGTACACATTAGGTACAAATCTCCCCCCCCCCACCAGGGCAGTGCTACTGACTGAAATGTCTTTAGGCCATTCCCAAAGGGAGGATATTAACATGTTCTTATGCACAGTAGAATTGTAAATGGGCTGATTTATAAATGTCATGCTCATACTGTGCTGGACCCGCGTAGGGGAAACTGCTGCCTTTTCTGTCCTCTTCTTTACTATCGTCATTTTCATCTACTTCTTTTGTATGTTTGTCACACTTGTGAACTTCTATTTCCGGGGTGCCTTGATGGTCGAAGCTTGGACTTCTCTGTTGACATCCACCCCTTGTCGCTCATATCACCTATGCAGTTGCGAGCGCCCAAAAACCTCTACTAAAACAAAAACCTTACTAAAACTAAATCTAGCTGCAAGCAAGCTTGCGATCGTCTGTCTATCCTCCATTTTGTCGACTGGACTTTGTTGTGTGTTCTTTTCGTTCCATATGTTATGTAATAATAATATATATGTTATTGATGGCGCAAATTAACTCCCTTTTTCGAGCTGGTGTGGGGCTTGATTTGCTGGGTAGTAAATTTTTTTCCAGGTAGTAAATTTTTTCAGGAAATATTGCTGGACACCCTGTATATTATAGGTAAATATGTACGGTAGGCCTACTTGTATCATTCCTGTGCCTGAGTTGGGCGCCATAGTTTGATTAATTTTTCATCACTCGTGTATATACCTTGAAATCAAGTCCATTATCTCTCAAACATTCCACCTGTTTTGTATTCTGAAATGAGTGTAAAAACTACTGCAACAACAAGAGTTCTTGCTCTGTTTAACAATTTTGTAGAAGCTTACTGACCTGGCTTGGATTTTATCTTTCCTTTTAAAATAGAAAACTGTCACCTGGATTTTGTGTACTTTTCTCATAACTTTTTCATTTTCAACTTCTTTTTTTTTATTATAGTAATGTATAATTTGATCGTCATTGAGTGCTTCCAGTCTTCCGACATTTGGCAAAAATCTGCCATTCTCTGACAATTCCATCCTTTGATCTTAAAGGAAAGTCAAGAACAGATAAAAGCATTGGCATGCTTTGTTCTCTAATTTACTCTTTTCCCTTTTTTTAAACTCTTAAATTGGGGGGGGGGGGGATGAAAACATTAGCTTTTTTGCTTGCAGGGGTGTAATAGGTATAAGTGGTTTTAACAGGGATGGGAGTTGTTTTTTTGGACATAAAGTTGACACTGCTCTTTTGGATAACTTTACACTGGACTTGTGACAGTTATTGAATATTAAATTTTAATAAAAAGAATTGTATTTAAATTCAGTGGATTGTGGCATTTCATTTAGAAGGAAACAAGATTCTCAAGGTCTGTTGAAATGACGGTAGGTTGCCATTAATCAGTTCAACTAGCCTGTTTTAAGTAAAAGGAAAGTTTTAATTCAAAATTATGGTTGACTTGATTGAACTTTTATGTGAGATGTGTGGTTTGTTTTCTTTTGCTCAAAAAATGCGCAGGACAGCGCCAACAATATTGAAAAAACAAAAATAATATGCCAATGTTTGGAAAAGAAACAAATGTAAAACTATCAGATATGTTTTGAATTGTTAGTTAATCCAGGCAAATCTCTTTTGCTTGGGATTATTCGTCAGTCTAATTTAACAAAAAATTTATCTTGGCTCTTGGTTCGTGAGTCAGGCTACCAGAGTACCTAACAAGAATGTGTATAATCATTCTTCAATAATAGCAAAAGATTTTATCTTGTAAAGTGACCATACATATAATGTTGAGAGAAGTTTGTCCTGCTACTTCTAAACACTGTACATGTGATGTACTCCACACACAATACGCGTTGACATTTATGCCGATATTTTCATCTATGCATTCCTTTCTTTGCCATAGTTCATAATATGTATGCTGCTATTGTACTGAAAAGCTGTTACATGTAGTTCTATATCTGACCTTATGGTGCATCTTACATTCAAAATTATGTCATTTGTCCCACCTGTACAAAATCAATGTGTGTGTATTGATTAAAGTCTTAAAATTTTTCTGAATTCACTTTGACTGAGACATTTTAACTGAGATAAGCGTGTATATTATTTAGTAGGAGAATGTGGTCAGTGAATGCTGTTATTGTATAACTGATGTTGAAATGGTGAGTTTTGTTTGACTACCATTGGTCTATATGGACTTTTTGGGTGTAAACGTGTTTGTGTAACAAACACAAAGTATTGTCATGACTCAATTTATTGAGTTGCAGACCTTTCACAACTTTATCCTTTCCTGTTGAAGTACCAAATGCACCTAGTTTTTTGTTTTGTTTTTTAAAAATCAAATGAATGAAGTTGTGTAGCCAAACTGCATGAAGTCAGAACATTATGATTGTGCCACAATAGATTATGTTTCTAAATTTTATAATCTACCGTACTAAAAAACCAAAGTGGGCATCTACTGTATAATGTATAGGCTCTTCGCCTTGCACCAAATAATGTGAGCTTGATTCTCATGTGAGGAATTTTATTGAGTTTGTGCTGGGATACTGAATTCCACTCTATCCAGTTTTGCAGCAACTCACCACCTACATGGTCTCTAAATTTTGAAGGGGAGTGGCATAAAATATTTAAAAATCAGACAGCAAGCAAAAGCTGAGATAACTTTTGGATTCAGGGAATATTTTTGCTGTATTTATTGTATTTTTGAAATAGTGGTGAGCTGAGAGGACTCAGGTGTGCAGGAGAGGATTTGGGTCCGTAGTGTGAACAACTCTTTGTTGCCTTGTTACTTTTGGAGTAAGCCTATGGTGTGCCAAGTTTGTTTGAAAGTGAATACCGTGTGT